TAGATCCTAGAACCAAATTTCACGAAGTGTGTCTGTCTCTCTCTGTCTCTGTCTCTGTGTGTGTGTGTGTCTGTGTGTGTGTGTCTGTGTGTGTGTGTGTGTTTGTGTGTGTGTGTGTTTGTGTGTGTCCGGGGGCGCATGATGGAGGTCGAGTTCTAGAATCCTAACCCACGCGGAATACCCCAGGCCCTGAGCCATCCGCTCACCTTTTGTTTCCGTGAATCGCAGGTTAGTGCTCTGCGCATTTGGAAACTGTTGCGGCTGGTGCTCACCGTTCGAATCATGAAGACCGCTGCCTGCCTGAATTTGGTTCTGAGCTCCAATGGTTGATGCTCCTTTTTTTTCCGGGTTCAGTGTCGGGGGGGGGGGGGGGGGGGNNGGGGCACTGTCGGACCCGTGCAGCCCAGCAGCAGCAAATCGAGGGAGCTTCCAGCATCTTTGTAGACAACGTTGATGATGATGGCACCGCAGGCTCAGGAATCGCACCCCCTGCTCCCATACTGAGTGTTGTGCGATACTCGCAAGAGCACACCGCTTTTGCACTATATGCCCGAAGCGGAGCCATTGTTCAGAAGAGCCTCGAATTGAGTTGCACAGACTGCGAGAGCAAGCCTGTTGTGATTTGAGCTTAGTCTTCTGTAACATCTGTGAAGTCCCGTCCTTGGAATTGGAGAATACTTCAGAAAACGCAGACTTGAATCGTGGCATGCGAGTCCTGAGTGCCTCTTGCAAAGGGTCTTCCTGTTGGTTGAATGTGCCTGTTGCATCGCCAGGAGTATTGCCAGGTGTATGTTGTTGGAGCCCTTACCAAGCCCCGGTGGCTTTCGAGCAGCTTCGAGTGAAATAAACATGTTGGCATAGCTGGACATGTCGGAACTCTGACCATTCTGAATCGCTCAACATTCCAACCTTTAGGATTTGGTCCGCAGGCCTCAACCACCGTAGCCCACACGATATTCTCGAAGGCCGAGACTCGACACAAATCATCGGACCTGAACTCCAGGTGAGCTTGTTTCGGCAGCTGCGTGTCTTAATCAGCGCTTGCATCTCGTCCCTGAGCGCTTTGCTCCTCGGATGGAATCATGTCAGCGCTTCGTGTACTTTATGGACTTTATCTCGATTGAGGGACTGACACCCGCGGGTGAACCATGAAGCACACCTGAGATTCTGGTCCCTGGTCTTGATGGTGCTGCTGGAGCTGGGCTTCACGATCATTATTTGCCAGTCGCTGCAGGCCGGGCAGGATTATTTGGGGTTTAGGGTATACATAGGGTTCAGGGCTTAGGGAGCCCAATGATTACCCTTTAATTAAGGAATATAGGGTTTGGGGTTCTCGTGTCGCGGATCATTCGTAGGGCCTGGGATTCATCGGGGACAGGGCTTCCGGGTTGTGGAATGGTTCCGACGAGATGCTTGCCAGCCGCAGTAGGGGTTAAGAGAGCATAGCTGCGGAGAGAACGACTTGCATGATGAATGTCATGACTCATAGCAACAGCAGGAGCGGGGCAGCAGTAAGACGAACCCGTGAACCTTGAAACCAAACATAGCAAGCATTATGGAACCCTTTTGACAACTTTTTGCGGTCCAAACAGCCTATGGGTGCTAGCAAGCTGTACTGTTCGGTTCATGTGCAGTAGGAGCTCGAGCATCAGAAGGGACATGGATTTCGGATTATGGGATTGGCTTTTAGGGTTTAAGAAGTTTAGAACATAGGAGGGCGGAGTTTCAGATAGTAGCTGATCCCAGTATGGCCCCGAAGTGGATAGGATCTTATAGTACCAAGACTCACAAAAAGCAAGCTCGGATCCTCAGGCACAAAAAGAGGATCTCGGAAGAGGCAGCAATGTCACAGTTTCACGAAGCATGACCAAGATTGTGGAGCAATGCTGGTGATACGGTTGCAGTTGAGAACAGAAGCACTGCATCAGTAGTTATCCACTAAGCACTACCTAGAGTCTCCATTGTAGTTCCTTTTTAGGGTTACCTTTTAGGATCCTTAGTGTAGAATTGGTTAAACCAAAAAAAGAACTGCAATGGAGACTATAGGTAAACCCTAAAGGAGTTCATCATGGACGAGCAGCAAGATCTGGAGACTCGAGTGGCGATAAGCGTCCTCTATGGCAGTTTCGGCCGGGCCCTGTGTCTCGGAGATTTCTGGTAGGGTTGACGATTTCTATATGCGATGTTGAAGCCGGAGGCATGATCATTTTCTGGACCCAAACCCGCCCGACGTGTACTGCCTTCACACCGCGTGACAGTTCATGCGCACATGCTCAGAAACAGGGTTGCGGAACAAACCTGCGCTGTGGCGTCCTGCGCGCAGTTGGGTGCGGTTCGGTGGCCCCAGCCCGTCTGGGACCCGGCAGAGGCTTGGCGCGACCTGGTGGGTCCGAGCTCTTCTCTACGGGCTCGGTGGGACCCGGTGGGTCTCAGGTATTCTCGGTGGAGCGTGGTGTGACCCGGTGGGTCTCAGCCCTTCTCTACACGGGACCCTACACCGCGTTTGGGTTTTGTAGTGTCAGTCCAAGGAATCCAAAAGTCGACTGGGACAATAAGGACTTAAAGTTCAGTGCAAGTTCACAATCATGACACGAGTACAAAAAGCACTCACAATTTCGTGTAGAAGCAGCACGTGCATAGGAAGATCCGCAACAATGACGGCCCCCAGTGGCATTGGGCCTATGCACATGTCAGTTCGCGAAGCTCGCGGAGCATGCGCATGCACATACATAGACACATGTACATAGTATACATGTATGTGTATGTATATGTATATAATGTATATGTGCACGTATGTGTATATGTATATGTATTTGCGAGGGCCCAGAACACCGGCAACAGCGGCCGGATTGCTGTTGCGCCCCAGGCCCTGACGAGCGAAGCTCGTTCTAGTTAGCTTCGCCGTCCCAGGACTTCGTATTTTAGCCCCCCGGGAAATGGAGTTCGCCAATTGCAAGTGGGATTGCAAATGGCCACTTCAAGAGCAGATCAAGGGCTCCGGAGTCCTGGTACAGGAGGATGTGAACGCTGCAGTCGCAGCGATGAGTAGCCATAACGGTACTTGTATCTCTTTAAAGGCCCTGCGAATGTCGCTACAGGATCGGCTTGGCATCAACCTGGCGGCTCAGAGGGCACAGATTCGCACGATGGCTGAACAAGCTTTGGTGTTGCTCACTACAGTCTGGGAATCTGACCCGCGCCCTGGCGGTCGTGGCAGGCGCTTGTTTAAGGAACGACATTGGCAGGATGAGCTGGGCATCACGAGTCGTTGGCGTGGTGATTGGGAACCGCTTAGGGAGCGCATGTTGTTGGATGCGGGCAACTACGGCGAACCCTCTGGCATGAATGCGTACGATGCGACTCAAGTGTTTGCCGTTACTGGTGAATCAAGGAACAACTATTCTGGCGTGCCAACGTGGTCTCATACCGCATCGGAATTAATTGCTTGTCATGACGCCCGGTTGCTGGTCAATAAGGATACCTGCAGCTGCAGCAGGGTGCTTGGATGCAAGTCAGGCGACAGGGAGAGCTTGTATGGTGATGCGGAGGTTGAAGCCTCCAGCAGTGGTTCTAGCAAAACGCCAGTGATGCAGGACAACAGCAACAGTGCGACTGCCTTTGCAAACCCGTGGATGTGGTGCTACGGCTGGAATCTGCTGCTGTTTTCAGATGACTCACTGCTGACGAGAGAACGCTGCCGGTTCACGGAGGCTGCGAATGGCCACTCTGCGCTGATTTCAACGATGGACAGGTTGCGCGCAGATGGGTTGATCGACTCCATTTGGGGATATGGTAGGGTTGGTTTTGCCTTCGATCCTGGTGGTTACACCCCGCAGTGAGGACGAGATTTGACTGCTTTCGTGGTAGTTCACGGAGCAGCTCCGGGTCATCTTTCGGCTGGGCAACCCGTGGGTGCATTCTGCACCGTGATTCAGTGTGAAAGGTTTTGGAGCGTTGGGATACGGCTTTTGGCTGCATGAGCCGCCGGTTTATGCCCTCGTTCGCCCCCTTTGGTAGCCTGATTTCTGCTCAGCCCATAGGGCTTAGTGCAAACAGGCGCCAGCGGATTCCCAGAATTCATTTTTGCTAGAGGCGCGTTCAATCTGGACACTCACTTTTCCGAAAGAAAATGTATTTGCGCATGTATGTGTATGTGTATACGGGCACGTATATGCGTGTGTATATGTGCCTGCACATGTACTTTTTTAGCTTCTTGACCACATCATCTGGGCATGTTTATGTAGTTATAAGGTACACCGTTTTCGAGCTGACCTTCTCCGGCGGATGGATTGTCAGAGTCCGACCTGTCGTCGAGAGCGTTAGCTACTGGTATGCCATTCCGTTTTTATGCTATATCACGTCCCATGGCCTGCAATTTAAGGTTTCGCGTTTCTTGCAAAGGTATTTTGTTTTCTGTGGTGTTTACAGGGTCTTTGGAGGTGCTCGTGCAACTGGGTGTGCCGCATGTTGAGCCTGCAGCTTGGGTTTGAGTACCGTTCACACACTGAACTTCACATGCCCGGTCGGGGCTCGTTCTTGGCCGCGTCAATAGTAGCACTGGGTTTGTATTCCGCAAGTTTTGGACTTTGCCCTGGCCGGCTCTCTCCAACCTTTGAAAGGTACACGAGGTGTTTCATTCCCCAAGCCCTAAGGCCGCGCGTTTGCAAAGAGTTGCAGTGTTTTTCGGGAGTTTTACGAAGCAAGAAGCTTTCCCCGAGGCTCAATGGTGGTAGTTTGTGGGCTGTCTTGTTCTCTTACGAGAATAACTTATCCGTCAATACAGGCTAAGGTGGTAAAGGTCAGGGTCTTGGTGGATCACGAGGCATTGAGCGGGTGCCGGTCAGGCGACGACATGAGCAGGTGTGTGTGTGTGTGTGTTTTCCCAAGGTTTTTCCCTATGCCCGTTCGACTGTTCAGGGTTTTCCATCATCGGCAAACGAGGGATCACCACTTCACTGGCCCTGAGGCCCTGAGCCCTAGATATCCTCTAGCCTTAAGCCTGACCTTGGAGCCTTCGCTCACAAGGATCGTGGTGTTTGCCGTGACGAGGATCGTGACAGCCATTTTCCTCAAGGACAAACCTAAACCCTACGCCTCATAAGCCCTATAAGCCTGAAACCTGAGCCTTAAACCAGAAGAAACCTTACTGTTACAAGCCCCAGACTCCCAGAACCCCTTATCAGAGCTTGAATCCCCAGGAATCAGAGCTCTTTCCGCGCCCGTAATCCTAGACCCCAGACAAAACGTTTGAAAGTTTCTGAGGAACCGTTTTGCATGTTGTTACTGTCGCACATTGTGTTCTTTTATTTGTCTCCGGGCTTCGAGATTCTAAATCTTTCAACTTGAGCCCTTCCCTGAATCTTGAAACCCGAATCCCTACCCAAAGGCGTTAAGCCTTATATAAGGCCTGACCGAACCCTAAACCCTCAAGCCACACCTTGAACCCGTATACACCCTAAACCCTAAATGCTTAAGCCTAGACCCTGAAAGCCCTAGAGCCCTGAAAGGAGACCTTGGCCAATGCAGCGAACGATGCCGCATTGCAGCTGGCGGAAACGAAGCGGATGGCCCGAGGCTGGCACGGGAAGTTGGGTGTTAATATTCGAATTAGGGGTCCTGGCGCCAGGGTTCCGCTTAGAGGGGCTCTACTGTACGTAAGGGTTTCTCTGTGAATAGTGTGCCAGGACTATGGGGCACTACAAGAAGGTGTGGTAAATAGCCGTTTTGGAGACTGGGGTTGCTGCTCGATGGCGTTGGGCGTAGAGTTTGGTTTGGGTTTGAGGTTCCTGGATATCAGGTTCGGGCCAAATACGATTCAGGTTTTTCTTTCACAGGTTTAAGTAGTTTGTGTGTTGGGGCGGTGTTGGAGGGGCCTTCGGCCAAGGGTTTCAAGCAACTGCGGCGTGGCTTCCCATGTGGTCCCGGGCCGGAATCGGTTTAGGGTAGTCTTGGCAGGTCACAGGTTGTCGGGCTCTACAGGATTGGGGACATCACGAGTCTGCATTGAGCTGGGCAATTTGGAAGCCGTTCAACCTTGAGGGCTTTGGGGGTATTTTTTTGTATCAGAGCAGCATCGGCTGGTCTTACCAGGAACTTCCTGAGCCCCAACAGCAAGGCAGCTCCACTCAGAGTCCCTCAATTCTCCCTGTACCTATAAGGGCTAGAAGAGTCCATCTGATCCCGAGGCCTTCAGAGCAAGTTCGAGGAGCTCTTCCGCTCTCTTGATGGCGATGGCAGCGAATCAATTTCCTTCAGCGACTCTTTGCTGTAACCTCAACGTCCACAAATGCTGGGGGTCAGAGACTTCATTCTCCCATGATGAGTTTGGCCGTAAAAAAGGCCTTCAAAAGTATCACTAGGCCTTCTCCACAGGGCATTCTGCATGAAGCGATGTCGGAGATTCTGGGGCTTTGGTTATCCGGTTTTGGCGGCAGCAGCTTCACCTAAACCCATCATGAAAAAGCAATCCTGGTTTGTGAAGATTTGCAGAACTCGTCGAAAACCTCTCTAACTTGAGAAACCCGTGGAATGCTTATCATTGACTGAGATGAGGGCAGTCAGTTCACGTACCAAACATGGATACGGTTCAGTCATTAACAAGTATAAACGGCGACACGGCTCAGTATGGAAAGGCTTGAATGTCGGAGCCGGCCCGGTGCAGAAACGATACCGTCTAGTCTAAAAAAGGCTTAAATCATGGATCCGGTTCGGTCCATAATGTCTCATTTTTCGACACGGCTCAGTCCTGTAAAGGCCTGATTTGTGGATCCGGCTCTGGGCTCAAGTGTATGAGAGGGCCTGGCACAAAGTAGCTCTTTCATGCTCAATGGTGCTGGCCACCATCTATGCGGCAGCTGCTCTGCCGAATCAAGATAAGTCTAGACGGTCATCTGGAGCTTCTAGCAGCAGTGACAAGAGCCGTGAAGCGCGAGCCGTTCCGGCAGCCTCGCGTGAATGTGACAGGAAGGACAATGTTCGAAGTGTGCAGATCAAACTGGGTCTTCTGCGCTCGGCCTTGGCACAAAAGGAAAAACATTGTCAAGCTACGGATGAGCCGCGACTTAACTTGGTGCGGACAGTATTTGGTTCGTGGAATCACCGGGCGACGTCTGGTGCAGCAGCGAACAAGACACAGGCAT